GGGGGAAGGGAATGGGGAGCTTAGGGAGACCGGGAGGGAGGAAAGGAGATGGGGAGGATCCAGAGGAGACTGGGGATGACCGGGGTGGGGGGTGTCCCAGAGGAGACTGGGGTTGACAAGAGTGAAGTGGGTGGGGGCCCCACAGGAGGTTGGGGATACCAGGGTGAAGGGGATTTGGGGGAAGACAGACCCCAGAGGAGGCTGGGGATGACAAGGGTGAAGGGAATGGGGGGGTGGTGTCCCTGAGGAGACTGGGGATGACCAGGGTGAAGGGGATGGGGGCAGAGGAGACTGAGGATGACCAAGGTGAAGGGGATGGGGGGGGGGGGGGCCCCGGGGGATGACCAGGGTGAAGGGGATTTGGGGGAGGACAGACCCCAGAGGAGTCTGAGGATGGCCAGGGTGAAGGGAGGAGACCCAGAGGAGACTGAGGACCAAAGCGAAGGACACTTAGGGAATTTAGGGAAGATTGAAGGGAAGGAGATGGGGAGGAGTAGTCAGGGAAGATTTAGGGGGCTTGGGGAAGGAGATGGCGGAATCGAGGGAAGTCTGGGGATTAATGAGGAAGGGGGGGATCCAGGGGAGATCAGAGGGAAGCCTGGAGAGGGGAGGAATCCAGGGGAGATTGAGGGGTACCAGGGGGAAGGGGATTGGAGGGGTATTCAGGAAAGGTGGGGGAGGGAGATGGTGAGATTTAGGGAAGACTGGGGGAAACAAGGAAAGGGAGTGGTGAAATTTAGGAAAGATTGAGATGAAGAAAATTAGGGGGAATCCGGGGGAAGTGGGCAGTGCTAAGGGAAAGGAGAAGGGGGGAGTTTAGGGCAGGTTGGAGGGAACGGGGTTGTGTGGGATCCAGAGGAGATGAGCGGTACACGGGATGGGGAGCGGCACTGGTGAAAAGGGGGTGTGAGGCCTCCAGGGGAGATGAGTCAAAACAAGGAGCTGTGGGGGATCCAGGCAAGGTGGGAGGACAGCGGAGAGATGGGGGGAAGAAGGCAGGTGGGAGGGGGAGAACGGGATTGGGGGGAAAAGGAGTGTGGGACAGCCGGGGAGATGGGTCAGGACATGGTGGATGGAGGAAGGAGTTATGAGGGATTCAGGGAGGTGGGGTAGGAGGTGATGGGGGCTGAAGGGGAGGGAGGTGTGGGGATGTAGAAAGTCAAGGGCAAGAGATGGGGGGCATCAAGGGAGAGGGAGGGCTGGAGAGGGGGTCCGTGGTGTTAGCAATAGATGGGGATTATGTGGGAAGGGCTGGATAAGAGGGTGTGATGAGCAGGAGCTTGAGCCGTGGCACTGTCCTGCTGTACGGAGGGCAAGACTGCTCTAGCTGCAGATCTTCCCAATAAAACACTCCCTGGGACTCCACTCTCACTTATGTCTCTGGGCTGTGCGTTGGAAATAGCGTCGCAAGACGAGATTCAGGCAATAATGATGGCCTTGGTCAGCTCAGCCCAGCAGGGACGAGGTGCCGCGCTGTCAGCGCTGGCTTGTTGCGTGAGCGTGGCCCAGAAATTGTCCCCTTCTGTCTCAGTTTCTCCATCAGTAAAGCAGATTCACAGTGGACAGTGTGGTTTCAAAGATGAGCGAGATGTTGAAGGCAAGAGGTGGATTTTTACGTCAGGGTCTGTTTTATTTTTGTCTTGCTGGCTTGCTTGGTGACGTTGGGCATGTCCCTTCATCTCGTGGAACCTCACTGCCCTCCTCTAAAACAGGGCAAGGCTTGCCTCCTGCCGAGAAATCAGGCAAGATCCTTGCCCAGAAGTCCAAAGCAGTAAGAGCAGGTTTGAGTGGTGGTTACTAGAATTTGTTTCCATGATGCGCTTCGTACAAGCACGTTCCCTGCGCTTTGAAGTTCCATTCGGTGCATTTCTGATTGCAAGGTCAGTGGTAAAACACAATGGCTTGGAGTGCCCGAGGTGTGGGCTGCGTGGTGCTGGAAGCACCTCCGGGGCTGTGGAGCTCTGTATCTGCTCTCAGATGGAGATACCCCGTTTGATCTCAGGGTGGCTTCCCACGTCTGCTAGTGGTTGAGCTAGTGCAGCGTGACACCCTGCCCGCTGCCACCTGAGGTGTGGTGGACAGAGCTGGAGAGGATGTGTGTGCTCCCTCTTGTGAAATAGAGTGTGTTTTCTTTAAGCCACCTTCATCATGAAAGTGAGGGTCCTTTGACAAGACACGGGGTTGGTCATCAAAGCAAGGAAGCTGTAGTTTTCTGTTTAAATCTTTATGGCAGAAGAAGGCGTGTGTGGTTGCTTTATAGCATTTTTACAGCAGAAAAAGAAAACCACGCTCCTGTAGAGGTGGCTCGTCTTTTCACTGGAAGTAACTATTGTGATTCTAGAGCAGGATTTACGGTATCTGCAGGGGCCACAAATTTTCTTGCTGCGTAGCTGATAGCTCTCTTAGCAAGCTTTCTACCTGAGCAGTCTCTTGTCAATTCTTCTGTTTCAGCCTGAAGTTCAGTCAGATGAAGCAGTAACTCCCTGTCCTCTGAGAAGCCCCTTGTACTGTGTGTGATGGCTGACTGTCTCTGGAAACTTTTGGCCGTCGGATTAAACAGTGCCTTTGAATCGCAGGTGTTTGAATGTCATGGCTATAAACTGCGCTCACGCGGGATCAGCTTTGTGTCTGCCTGTGAGAGCAGCGGGAGTTGAGCTCAGGTCTCCACGGTCCTTGGCAAGTCTGTTGGCCGTTCAAGGGTCCTTTTGGAGTTGAGGATGCCCATCGCTGTTTGCAGGGTGGTCTTTGATCTTTTCCATTTAAGTCTTCCTGGGTTGGTGGTCCCCACGTTTCACCTCGGAATGTGGCAACTGGGTTATCCTGGGTGCTGTTTTACAATGTGTGTTTTAGCGTAGGGTGGCTGGATTTATTTTACAGATTTCTTTTCCAGATTCTGGGTAACCCTTAGCTCGCTGGCTTTGCGTTACTCTTCTTGTCTGCCAGCCGTGTTCTGGGCAGTACTGTGTGTGTACTGACACATGTCGGAACACAAATGAATGACTGCAGTTCTTTTCACTGAGAAATGTCTTACTCCTCAGAGACCGTGGCTCTTAGTGATCTATTAAATAAGGAAATAGAGAAAGGACAAATAATTCTCACTGCCATCTTGCCCCATCCCAGAACGTTAAAGGCACAGGAGTGAAGTGATAGATCGGTGTCAGCGTGGCTGGAGAGGACTTTGCGTTGGACCGTTTCCACCCTGCTTGGCATGATGTGCTGTACTTGGTTCTTTTAATAGACTGGCATCTGATTTGCCTCCTCTGTGATTCTGATGTGCTGTCTGAAAGCAATGTTTAAACCCAGCAGGTATAAAAATGGGTACGTAGAGAAAATTTGGCCTCTTAACTGCTAAGTAAAATTCAGGCCATGGTCTCAAGCCACCCAAGGCACAAATGCTAGATGGCATTTTAACCAGTGCATGGTCTGTTGCTCCTGTGTTGAGGTTTCTTGACATTTCGAGGTGAGGCTGGCTCCTCTACCTTTTTGTCCTCAGAACTGCAGACACAGGATCCTTGGAGGTCATCACTGGCTGTCACAGATTCTTCTCCACTCCTGCCTCCACCTCTTCCAGCACCAGCGCGGAGCTCGTGCCGATAAGAAGACATTTTAGCATGGGGTCTGCCTTCTGCCTCACAGCTCAGGAACCCACATCCTAAAAGATAAACCTTGCTGCTTTCAAGTCCCCAACTCTCTGTTTCTTTATGAACCCGTAAAAAGTAGCAGAAGCAACCAGCATCTTCATGTGCCCATCCCTGGCTGTTGTAGGAAACAAGGCTGTATGGGAGGTGCCCTCCGGGATGCCTCCCACCCTGTGCTCGAGGGGAGCGTGAAATACCCTCCGGTGTCCCTGCTCGGATAGTCCTGGAAGGAAACTTTTCTGTACTGCGGATTTGGCAGGCACTGGAGTCCTGGTGCATGTGAGCAGGCTTTCCTTAACTGTTTGGTCACATTTCTTACCCGCTGACACTGCTGACAGCCAAGTAGCTGTCTGTCTGCTTGCGACTTGGAAAGGGCGTTCTGGCAACTGCTTTTTGAGTAATCCATGTCATTTCATGGGTGTCAGGCTGCACGGTATCAAGATGCATTTCTGTCACTGCTGAACTCGGGAGGATTCTTCGATGGGGTTTTGTAACCTTTTTTTAGATATAAAAAAAAGCCAGAGGCTTGTTTGGTATGTGAGCTACTGAGCAGTGAGAGAACCATGTGGCCATGAAGGAATCTGAACTGAGTAAGTGGCGGGAGAAGGAGCCAGTGTGGAGCCTTTGAATACAGTTAGCGTATGCGTGAGGATTTGGACACACGGGTTCACACCAGCACGTGTGACATCCCACCCTAAGGGCTGGCCGCGTCCTTGGGTGCAGGTGTCGAGTGCTTGTAGTCACTGTGAAATCATTTCCCACCTTGAGGTGTCAGTGACACGTGAGCTGGTATCAGACACACAGCAGCTGCCGTTCCGGTGCACAGTGAACGCATTTTTACAGCTATTTTGAAGTCGTAGAGACTGCCTCTTTTGGCGATAGCGGGGAGGAGGGGTGGACACCCCGGCAGGCTGTGCCGCCATTCAGCGAGACCTGGGCAGGCTGGAGAGCTGCGCGGAGAGGAACCTGATGGAGTTCAACAAGGGCAAGGGCAGGGTCCTGCACCTGGGGAGGAACAACCCCAGGCACCAG